TGTTTTTTTTTTTTTCTGTGCAAGTGTAGCAATACATTTCTTAACCAATAGAAGGAACTCAGAAACATCTCCTGTGTTGGATTTTTGTGGCTCTAATAAATTTGTTAGCCTCTAAGGTGCCACAAGTACTCCTGTTCTTTTTGCGGATACAGACTAACACGGCTGCTACTCTGAAACCTGTCATTATTAGGAGCATTACTGTTGATCAGGGAAAGCCGCTGGCGGGCCCGGACGGTTTGTTTACCTGCAGCATCTGCAGGTTTGGCCGATCGCAGCTCCCACTGTCCGCGGTTCACCGTCCCAGGCCAATGGGGGCTGCGGGAAACAGTGCGGGCCGAGGGATGTGCTGGCCGCCCTTCCCGCAGCCCCCATTGGCCTGGGACGGCGAACCGCAGCCAGTGGGAGCTGCGATCGGCCAAACCTGCAGACGCTGCAGGTAAACAAACCGTCCTGGCCTGCCAGCGGCTTTCCCTGGTGGGCTGCGTGCCAAAATTGCCAATCCCTGCTGTAGATGCAGTCAAATGAAAATTCTATGAAATATAAATATATTCTGTGACCATAAGATACAGTGCCTGCTATTGTTTAAACGAATGCATCATGTAGTAAAGCAATTTTGAGCAAATTGTCCATGTGCATATTATAAAAGTGCGCTTTGCTTAATTAAAAAAATCCTTAACTAAATCGTAATGGGGCAGTTGAAATTCTGTTGGGCTCCAAGCAAATGAGTGGTAGGCTTACAAAAATATACAGTGGTTGTGATTCTAGTTTTTGATAGTTTAATAATATATGGCCAAATGCTTGCGTCTTTGGTGTGGTCTAGTTAAACGCTCGTTGGAAGCAATAAGTTCTGCTTGATTAAGGATGGCAGAATTTGGCCCATATTCTTGGGACTGAATGCTGCTGCTCTTACTCACGTGTGTATTCACACTGAAGTCAGTGCAATTATGTGAGCAATGAATTTGGCTCAGTGAGTGTTTGGCTTCATGTGTTAGTAGAGTAGGCTCAGGCCCTTACCCCTTAAGATTAATTCCAAATATTCAGTGAAAATCAATATTCGATGAAAGGTTATTAAGTGAATATTATTTAGCTCCCAACCTACAATATCATATGTGTTAAAGGTGAAATTCACTTCACCCACACACAGTCAGAGTAAATGAGCTTTAGCACATGTGGAGTGAAGTAGAATGAGCAGTTGAAATCCACCTTCCCCAATTTAGGGTCAAGGGTGCAAGATTGCATCCTGCCTCCTAGCCACTGTATCAGGCTACATAGTATAATAGAGGTCACAGCTTCTCAGTGCTACTTGTACCATTTGCCGGGGCTACTGCATATTTGGCCCCTCCCTCTTCAATACTCTCCATGCTGACCTATCTGTGACTGTCACAAAGATTCCTGTGGCATCTAGATATGGAGTCAGGTCTGAGAGGCTGCCCTGTCTTAACATACATATCCTATGTAGCCACAACGTAGGCCTTAATAGGTGTAGAGGTCCTTGTGTTGTACCTCCATGCTGTGACTGATGATTACCTATAGGAATTTTAAATATACTTTGTTCATTTTGGGACACATTCTGGATTTAATGATTAGGAATGAGACAGGCAGGAGGCAAACATAATGAAGGTGTACATTGCTTCCTGGTAGGGTGACCAGATGTCCTGATTTTATAGGGACAGTCCCGATATTCAGGGCTTTTTCTTATCTAGGCACCAATTACCCCCCACCCCCTGTCCCGATTTTTCACACTTGCTATCTGGTCACCCTACTTCCCAGGAAGGTTTACAAATACCTATCACACTTAATTTGCCTAAGCAGAGGCTGCCAGCCATCCTGAAGTGTGAGGAATGGTGTGGTGGTTTTGTGATGTGAACCAATATGCCCCACTGATGGTGCTGAAATGACAGACACCTTTTCACTCGTGAGCTAAGCACAGACCTCCTGAGCTGAAAGGCAAATTTACCAACCACCAGTTGTAAACTACACCCCTGAATTCTCAGTGTGTGAAAGTTACTGTTGTGACTAGTAAGTCTTTTTTGAGGCACAAAGATAGAGATCACCATGTTTGAGCTACCAAGGTTTCCATTGTAGTCTTAACATTATACAAGCCACAGAGAATAAACATGTGTTTAGATATACTGCCAAGCAGTGCAGACAAACTGAAATGAAAGCCATTGCAAATTTGGCAGTGTGTTGTGGTAGGATTTTATGGCTGTATTTGTTTGGAGACAGATCCTTAGGTGTAGTAAATTGGTGGTAGCTCCATTGACTTCAGTGATAGCTGTGCCAGTATATACCAGTTGATGACCTGGCCCATTGTGTTACGGAAGGACAATAGAGCCATTAACTTAAGAGCCTTTAATAATTATTTCTAATTTGAATAGCTTTTTATTCTCATAGAAGCTGATAATTTAGGCAGGACATTACACCACACATACTACATGGTAGCTGTAGATTGGCCAAATTCTAGGTTAATGGAAGAAAATTACCATGATATGGGGAATATAACATCAGAAAAGGAAACACTTGGTGTTCTGTAATAGTAGATGCATCTGACTTTTAAATGTGATCTTCCCATGAACTTATATTGGGATCTAATAGCACAGAACCTTGTGTCCACGCGGAGTGTAATCTTCTTCCACAGAAGTTATCTGGGAAAGGAAATACAGCCTGCTGCTATATTTGCTTTTCTGTGGCCTACTCTTTTTTTTGTAGTGGGGAACCCCCTTAAGGAAGGTGCTGGTGTCATGCTGTCTGGAGTGGCTCACAACTGTGAATGCCAATCTCAAGTCAGACTGTCAGAAAATAGGACAGACATCCAAACTGGTGGTATATTCAGTAATTAGATTTCACCAAGCCAGTAACAAATGTGCCCTCCTGGATCACTATATTAGTCTTACCATGGAGTCACAAACAGTCCCCTTAGGCTTTCTAGCTTACCTTCCCTGACAAACTGGACTTTGTGATACTGGTGGCTATACCAAATATCCCATTGCATTAGGTTACTCCCAGCCCCAAAGGGTCAGTCACTTACTCCAGCTCAATGGATACTCTCAATCTCACACCGAAGACAATGCAGGCAGCCAATTTCTCTAATTAACTAATGGTTTATTAGCTAATGAGTTATGGAGAGGTTAAAGCAAGTAAAATACATTAAGTATTGTAAATCCAAAATAATAGCAGAGATGTGGTAATCTGCTAGTTTTCCATAAGTCTCTCAGGGTTACCCAGAATAACTTTGGAAATCTCTGTCTTGCATCTGGAACGCTTCCCTGTGAGTATCCAAACAACAGGATGCAGGATCGTTCCCTGAATCCATATTTTTAGTTTTTCCACACAGAAAGCAAGCTGTCAGTGCTTTTACCCATGTGTGGGTTTCCTTTGTTGACGGTGAGTGAGGAATGCATCTTGAATCTTTGACGTTCAATTATTACACCAATGACCACTTGCTTTGAAGCTAGCCCTTGCTTCCTCTCCCAAGTCTTCATCTGCATTTAATGGGTTATTTAGTTACAAGGATATACATCATGCAAATGCCTGCCATTAAGAGGAACAGATAAGTGAGAACAATACAAGTAACATTCTATTAGTTTTCATGAAGTTTACACATCAAGTAAATTTTCATCTTAAATACTAA